ACTCAAAATCTCTCCAACTAACTTATGTCTCTCTTATTAGTGTTTGATAACCCTATTTATATTCTATCTATTAGGCTCTAATTAGCTGTTATGCAAAATATAAAGTATGAGCTAATTCTATAAAAGATCGTAATGATCAACAAAGTATAAGATGGTAATTACTTCGATTATTAGAAGATAAGCTATTATAATATGTGAGAAATGTTATGTCATTTTTCGTAACAGTTGGAATTGAATGATCATTCAAAAAGATAAGTCAAAATAATAAGAAACATTCAGAACTAACCAGTCAGGGACTATACCAAATTTGGTCACACCTAGATTTCACCTAACTAATCTACAAATGATCACCAGTTTAATACGATTAGCTCATAATGACCTGGTTAGAACTTATAGTTATCAATGACAGTGTTGCTTTTATTCATACTATTGTTAGCTGTGCAATGTAAATAAATTCTTTAGAGCTAAGTTAGTAAAATTGATTAATTTATATACATATTCTTGATATAACTTATTGTTTTTGTTATAAATTGAAACTAGTCAAAAAAATCAACTAGTTAAAATTTGATTTATTGATTTGGATAATCTAAAATTATATAGTAATCAACTAATTAACATTAATTTTCTATTAATGTTTATAGACTTATTTGATAATAATTCTAATAGACAATTTAAAGTTACATTTTTACAACTTTTTATATTGATCGATAATATAAGTAGAATTCGATAAATTATTGTTAATATCAATTGGATATAAAGCATTTGTATTGATACTTGGTTTTGAATACTTGTTTAGTACAGAATTTTATTAAATTTTAGATTCTTATAAATCATTGGAAATTATGAGTAATTTTAATATAAATTTTATTTAAAGCATATACTTAGTACAAAATATTTTTGTAACAACTTATACCAAATACTTTGTACTCACTAAAATAAACTACCAAATGCATCTTTAAAAAACTAAAGTTGGATATGTATTTTTTTTTACATTTTGTAAAAATTCCAATCAATTCAATAAAGAAACTCCAATGTGGCGGGTTGACAAATTCTACTTGTTATATTTCTAACCAAAATGAAGTTTTTGATTTTTCTTTGTTCACTAGATTTTAAAAGTTAACATATTAGTAAATATTAATAATTTAAAAGTATAAAAAAATTAAATATACCTTTGTTCAACTTTGATCATTTCTAAACACTTGACAACAGAACAACATCCAATTCCAAATCCATGACCTTGGCTAAAAGAAAATTGACCAGTTGTTATATATCCAATTATGTCATCTATACATGGAATATCCTATAAGCAGTGTAAATATATTGCAAAAAAAGCTTAAAACCAAAGAAAACACAGATTCTCAAATAAGCATATATACCTTATTGTCAATTTCTTCAGTTAAAAGATCCCTATTACTATCACTCTTTTTTATTTTTTTCTTCCACTTTTGATAAGTATCTTTTTTTCCAATCTTGTAAATAATAGCATTCCATCTTGGACATCCTCTTGCCAATAAATTTATTCTAACATTCACCAATGCTTGTTTAAGATTCCAGCAAGTATTAAATTCAGGTAATAAAGGTACACTACGTTTCTCAAATAAATCTCTAATTTGTGCCTGTAATTTCACCAAAAACTCTTCAACATTATCAGGACATATAGGAAAACAATAAGTTTCAAGAAGTTTGATATTTTTTGCACCTCGAAGTAACCATAGTTTCTTTTCAACAAATGGTTTAAAGCCTAATAGATAGAATATAAATAGGGTTATCAAACACTAATAAGAGAGACATAAGTTAGTTGGAGAGATTTTGAGT